TCAGAGAACTATGGCTTTCCAAATTTCAACTGAAAATCGGCGCAGTCAGCACCAATTTATCCAATCGCCATCAGGCCGACCAATTACCGCAAGTGGAGCAGCGCCCGAATCTGACAGGATTCCAGCTCTGAACACACGCCAGGCCGTTCCGGTGGAGGACGCTGACGTCGCTCCAGCGAGGGACGCGAGCGGTCCAGTTGAAATGACGAGCGGGACGCGGTATGGCTGTCTGGGGAGCTGTAAAGCCATATGGAGATAGTGGGAGGGGGAGGTGCAGGGAAGCTTACGCAGACCAGGCAGGGCTAGGATTCGTTAGGACCCTTACGACGAACCAAGAAGCTCACAGGACTCGCAAGTTCTGTTTCAGCAATAATTCCAAATGTTATCCAAACCCATAGCCATGCACAACAGAATCCCTATCTACACCCTGAAGACACAAGAGTCTCAAAGGTCATCAGCAATGCCGCACGACGATTCCTCCCAATAAGACGACCGGCAGCGGGCCGGGCAGCGCGTGGTCCGGCCGGTGCCACGACTAACGAGTCGACAGACGCCGCGGGAGTCGCAATCGTCAGCGACTCCGGAAACGAGACACGACGGCGCCGTCCGCGATAGGGCGCCGCCTCGGCGCCGGAATGGCAGACGGTGCCAGAGCGACGATTTGGAGCGCTCCGCAGCCAGGGAAGGTGGGGGAGGGGGAGGGGGACGAGGCCGCCAGCCACCGATCCGGCCTCCAGCCGAGCCGCGTTAGCAAACAGTGGCCGGTGATCAATACGGACGGGAGAGGCGGCGGTGTGGAGGTGCACCCGGCTCCCGGGGACCGGGGACCGGGGACGGGTAGTCGTCCCAGCACGGGAGGGTCAGCTCTCGAGCTCACCGCACGGGAGTGGCACCAGCGGCATCCCAACACCGCACGGATTGTCGATAAAAGCCCCACGGAGCAAGTTCTAAGGAAGCTTCTCCTGGGGCTAAACTACAAAGGTCGCGCTTGATCCTCACCCTGGATCTGTCTGACACGTCTTGAGTAATTGCATAACAGTAGACCGACAAAAAGTCGCTAAAAACACCAATCCAACCAATCACCAATTTCGTCACAGAGCAGCAAAAACAGACGGCAAAACCAACATCTCCGCAGGATAGTCTGGCAGAAGACGAGATGATCGCGGCAGGACCGTCTGGTAATCCGCGGCCGGCCGAGAACAGGGGCGGCGATGGCGCCGACAGAATTGTTTTGCTCGCCCGGTGCCGAGTGATGAGCAGACCGATTGACCCCGATGGCGGCTACGTCTCGCGAAAACAGCGCCAGAGGGACGAACCATCCGGAGAGAAAAAATGTCGGAAATGCGTGATGCTATAAGTTGTGTGCCTGGTGCCTCCGAGAGGCAAGAAGAGTATCGGAACGGAATCCGGATGGAAAGATTGTGGGCGATGGAAATAACAAAAGAAACAAGAAAAAGACAAATTAAGATAGAGACGGGTTTAACTTTACACTAAAAATGTAAGGCGTTTGTTATAAGGTTGATGATTTAGGCAATGAAATATACAAAGAAAGATATGGAACTTAGGAAAAGTAATTGCGTTTTCCACTAAATAATAAAACGTATCGCAGCGGTTTATCCAAAGCTCCGGGACGTATATGGAAATCAGACTGGAAAACACTGTCAGAAACGTGTCTGTGGGAACAATCCTCGGATTAAGATCGTGCTCGGAACGCTAGGCCTTCGGAAAATACTCACTGGGTACGTTACTGTACCAGAATATACCGGCGACACCTACACCCCGCCCAAAGAGCGTGATGCAGCTGCATTTTAATTCCGTCGAACAAATACATCCAGTTTCATCACAACGCGGCTCAAAATGCACCACGCAACAAGAGACAAATTCAGGCCAGTAACAAGTTGCGGCACACTCAAATGCCGATTCAGAATTAATGGCTCGGTCGGTTTCATTTACCCCGTTTACATGAGTCAGCGAAAATGACGTTTAGAACGGATATTTCCGTTTAGCGAAAAGTGCGCAAGTTTCGACTCATGTAAACTGGTTAGCGCGCGCAAAAATGACGATTACGCGGAACGGAAATATCCGATGAATTAAAGGGACCCTCCCACCTTCAAAAAAGTTAATGAATTGGCATGAAAGTGATGTCGCTCGGTTCAGAAAGAGCAAAAACGCATATCTACCAAATTTCATCGAAAAATATTCACCGGTTTTCAAGATATTAGACTTATACTTTTGTTTACTTTTTGGGATCTCCGCTGTTCCTAGCGACTTTATTTGAAAGTGCGGCATTTGTTGCGCGCAAAGCAGCATATACCACCGCGTGCTACAAAACGTTTTAGTCAAACATTTAACGGACGTTCGAAAGCCTGATGACGTCATCAGATTCCCGTAATGGTTAAGAGATAGGGACCACGCTGGTCCCACCCTGCAAGTAAAGGGAAGAAATTTCTTGAACACCATAAAGCTGCGGGGGTTGCGACCAGGATAAATGGTGGTTTCTGAGCCTGGCCGCAAACTTGGCTATCTCAACTCAAAACTAATGTTAAGGTGGGAGGGTCCCTTTAATGGGAAATATCCGTTTAGAACGTCTTTTTTAGCGTATTTTTTGAAAATATGCATTAGGATGACTCAGCAATGATTATTTTGTTTATAGTTTTCAAAAATAACTCATAATAAGTCATATTTACGTTGAATGAAAAGTAAAATAACAATATAGGTAATTAGCTTTTGGCGCCCCATGTCGCGCCTATTTTCAAAACAGCTGTGTTTGGGCTGGCGGCCTTGGTTTGACTTTGTGCCAGTTCAAGTTTGAGGGCGTTGATCAGGGATATTGTCTTTTGTGCTCAATTAGATCAGTTTTTGTAAACATTTTGTTCGATTCCTTGGAGCCGTCGCCAGCCATGAAGCATTGGACGGAGGATGAGGAGCGAGCGCTCCTGCGTATCGTGCAGGAGAAGAACCTGTTGGGGGCGATCGACGGAAGGCGAGCGAGGAACTCCCAGGTTGGTATTTGGAAGACCATTGGTTGAAAGATTAAAACAAAACAGTTCAAGTTATAACACCGCCCATTTTGTTGCTTTGTGTGCTTGATCATCAATTGAGGTGTTGCAATGGGTTTTTTGGAAAATATTGGTGGGCTGGTGGCCATTTTCAACTTACAACAAAATCACAAATTATCAAAAATTCAGCCACAATAGTGTTTAGTTCTTCCACCAGATCTGCCAATTGGACTTATGCTTGTGTTGCTTAGCAAAAGAGAAATGAGTAAAATTTATGCTGTCAGGTCAATCAAATTATTGTTCACGGGTTTGATGAAAATGTAATTTTTTAACGCCAGGCTCAAAATTGATACATTTCATACCATTTTGTGACAAATAGTATATCAATCTGGAAAATATTAGTTTGAATATTTGCTTTAAAAAACAGGTACATTACATGCAAAAATAACAAAAGCCTATCAATGTCGCTTAGCCTTACGTCCCATGTGTGATCAGGCCTAAGTTATACCTGTTTTGTGTAAAAAAGTATGGTAAGTTGTGATGTGAGGTGTCACTTTGAAAGCCAAGAAGTATGTATTCTTTCCTTTCATGTTTTTGTTTTGTCAATTCCAGTTTTTAGAGGGTGCAGAAGTGAAAGGTAGCTAGCCGCAGGCTTGGGTTGAAGCCCTTTTTTGCACCTTCAGTCCAAAATTGAATAAAGAAGTTGTGCCAGTGCTACAAGCAGAAATAGCAAAACCTAATCCAACCTTAATTGGCCTTAAGGTCATTTGACATTAGCTAATTGCCTAAGTTAAACTTATTAAGTATTAGGTAGGTACTAGTGCAGACAAAGGTTGTTCAACCAAGAGGAGGAGCTATACCCGACAACCCGTAGATGCTCTTTCTGCCCAAAACAAAACAAACCTAGCCTGATCTAATTTATCCTACAACCTACAAACTTACAACCTACAAACTAGCAATCTACCAACCTACAACCTACCAACCTACAGCAGCTCTCCTTGGTTGGAAAACCTTTGTGTGACAACCCTCCCCAAATTAGGGAATAGTCTAAAACATTTAAGTGAAAAATCTCCCTCTTTTTCTGGCTAGACAGCTCATGCAACAGGTTTAAGCCTTTATTCGAGGTTCCAAAAAATGAAGTCCTTTGACCAAGCTGAGACGGAATACCTCACTTTTTTGCAAATATTTTTGTTTTGTTGTTTTCGATGAAAAGGCCAAGTTGTGAAAAATAAGTGACCTAAAGGCTAAAACTTATGAGAAAACTAAATTTGGGGGTAGGTGCCCTAGGTTGATCTCTATTATGGATTACACCAGACTCCAGAGAGGGTCAGTTGTGCCCCCCCCCCCCCTCCCAGCCTGAAAGTACTTCCCGCGCCACTGCTAGCCATGGTATGGTATTTATCAGATAAATGTTATAAACAAAACCAGCTGATTGGGAAACAAAATCTTGCCTTGGCTGCTTTGTCCTGGCTTGTTGACACTCTTCATGATTCACTCTAAATTTTCACTCTCACATCGCATTAGAATTTCACATTGCAAACCATATAATGTTCCCTTAATTGCCATCAAAGAATGTCATTTAAGCCTTGCTTCCATGCTTTTGAAAACAATGTCTGATGTCATTTTCATTCATCATAGCATGGGCAGTTGAACAGCAATGGGCGGCCTAGCGGGCAGTCGTATAGCAATAGTTGATTTGACAGCCGCGAGGTGTCAGGCTGAGGCTGGCAATAAGGCTGCCTGGTGTTTGTGTGTGTCTGATGCATCTTTGTCAGTCCCTAATTGTTTCCCAAACACAGTGATACGCCCTGATGACCTCGGTAGATTGGATTTCTCAAACTGCAATACATCATAGCATCTTCAGACTTCATCGTTCTTTTGTACGGACTTATTAAATGTATACCTATATCCAGGGCCTAGTTTAACATGTTAACTGGGGGGGGGGGTCGCTTCCCCAGTCCCCAGTCGACAGTCGAGCGGATTGCCCACCACCAGTGACCAACATTGCCCCCCCCCCCAGTCAAAACGTGAGCTTTTCACAAAATTAACTTTTCACAAAATTTTTGTCAAAATAAGTGTCCTAAATCCAGTGAGAAAACAGGATTTGGGGGTTCCCTAGGCTTAGCTCCTAGTTTCTTGCCCCCCCCCCCCTACAATAAAAATTCCTTTGACGAGGACTTGCCTATCTCATAGAGGATTTTCCCAGTATGCCTCAGGGACCCAACCGAATGATTTTTTTTTTATTACCAGGCTGTGTGCCTCTTCTCGAGGTCCATTTAATTACAGAATTGTTTGCTTTGTCCTTCATTTTCAGATATTCCAGTGCCTCAGTGAGGCCATGGGAGACATGGGGTACGACCGGCCGGCGGAGGTTTGCCGAACCAAGTTAAAAACGCTCCGGCTGCGTTTCAACAGCGTCGCCCGGGCCCGGGCACGCTCGGGAGCGGGCAGTGGAGAAGACATGCCGCACCAAGATCTGCTACAGGAGCTACTTGGTGGCCGACCGGTCGCCACCAGCACCGGCTCTACCATGGATCTTGGGATCCCGCAAGCAGATCCTCCACTGCCCGGTGAGATATTTGTGTCACTCTTTTCTGATAGGCACAAGGGTTTTCTTTTATGTTCTGTTTTGTTACTTCAACTTCATAAAGATATGTGATACCTTTTCATAGATACCTTTTCTATGTGATGCTGAATAAATGCTCAAGCTTGTCTGGTGTCTGGTGTGTCTGGTGCATTTTTTTCTTTTTTAAGCATCAGATTAACGATACATTATAATATTGTCTACATTTTCTGACGTCCTAACTAATCCCACGTGTGAAACAAAAGCTCGGTGGGTGCGAGGAAGCTCAGTGGGTCCGTTATGAGCCTTTAAAATTCCTAGTGTGGGGCCCCTCAGAGGCCGTCATGGCTTCCTAGCTTCCTAGCTTATTGCACCGTGTGTCTCAAATCTCTTTATGAAAAGTTAAGGCACCTCTGCTCCCTCCAAAGGGCTGCGTGTCCTAAGGAAAGGCCTACTCATTACGGAGTCTTATCGATTCTCGTCATGTCTTTTCAGAAGACAACGTCGTCTCCTTCCGGGGAGAAGCCGTGGACGCCAATACCGACGACATATCCACCGTCGCGGGCGACGCGGAGCTGCAACAACTTTACGAGGACCTCTTTGAGGCTGGCACGCCTCAGACCCTGCCCGCCTCCGCCGCCCGCCCGACCGCCGCTCGCCTGCCCGCCTCTGCCGCGCCTCAGACCTTGCCCGCCTCCGCCGCCCGCCCGACCGCCGCTCGCCTGCCCGCCTCTGCCGCGCCTCAGACCCCGCCCGCCTCCGCCGCCCGCCCGATCGCCTCCGCCGCCCGCCCGCCCGCCTCCGCCGCCCGCCCGCCCGCCTCCGCCGCCCGCCCGATCGCCTTTGCCGCCCGCCCGACCACCTCTGCCGTTCGCCCGCCCGCCTCTGCCGCCCTCCCGACCACCTCTACCCTGAGCCCTACCCCGTCTTCCACCGCACGCCCCGGTCCATCTACTTGCGTTCCGCACTCAGCTTCCGACCTGCTCCAAAGCCCGCGCTCCTCTCAATCAGACAACTCTCTGCCACACCTCCATGACATTCCTGACGACCAATCCGTATCGAGCCACCAGTCCTCTCTGTCGCCCCCCGCTCCTCGCTCCGTTCCTGAATCCCGTAATCGCACCACCTCCTCCTCCTCCTCCTCAACCACTTCCAGCACCCGAAGCCGCCACCCCACCCGCCTTACGCCCGCACAACCAGCTCCGCCAGCCGACGACGGCCTCAGCGGCACCGAGAGGGCCGCTCGGCAGCGGCAGGCCAGGCGCCGCAGCGCGACCGGCTACCGGGACCGGGTGCTGTCCGCCCTGGAGGCCTCCCAGGAGGAGGACCGCCGGGCGGCGGCGCGGGAGGAGGCACGCGACGAGCGGGAGGACCGCGTGCTGGACGCCCTCCTGGAGGAGATGCGGGCCGGCACCAACCTGCTCCGCGAGGCGGTCGGCGTGATGCGCGACATGGCCGCTGCGTCGGCCCGCCGGGCGCACCGTCGCCGTTCGCGGTCGCGTTCACCTATGTAAATATGAATATATGTGTTATCGCACAGTGGAAACTCAAAATATAATCAAGATTTACTTTGTCAGACGTGCGTTTGTTGATTGTCGTGATTCACGGGCGAAGCTGTCACACGTGCACGTCGAAGGGCCGGGGGTTCCTACATCACGTAACGGGTGCATTCGTTACGGTTTTAGTATGTTGTTGGTATTTTGAATAGGTACTCAGTACCTATTGTATTAGATGCTGTGCTTTGGCAAGAAGTTGGCATTTTCTTCATGTCAAGTTGGCTTGGTTTCGTTATTTTCCCATGGTTTTATTTGGTATTTGTTTTGGTATCGGTAGCCCGATTTTCTACAATTGACATCGCTAGTGAAGACAGAAAAACGGTAATCACAGAGAATAGATACTGCTACGCGAATGGTCAGGGGCCAGGTAGTAGTATACACGAGGTAAACAGTATACGCAAACACAGCTCTGTTCCAAACGAGGTTTATCGGAATCTCACGGATCGTACGCAACATCATTCGAGTGACATAGCGCACGCCGCCGCACTGCAGCGCCACGCGGTGAAACAGGGCCCTGGTAGCATTCAGCTCCTTCAGACGCACCGAGAGATATGCGTGCTGACCTTGAGTCCACGTGACCTGAGGTCATCACTGAGTCAGGTCGAATGATGTATTTTGATGCAAACTGACGAGTAAATTTCGATGTCATTGGTTTTGGTCAAACTTGATAAAAAAAACTAGACCTCTAGCGCCACTATTCCGCCTATCTGGACCCCTGCATCACCTGACCTGAGCTTTGACCTGACCAAATGTGGACAAAAAAGTGGACAAATCGATTCAAAATGCGCTTGGAGGGAAGCTCATATATAGATGATCAGTTTATTCAGCGGTCAATGTAAACACGGTTTACAACAGCGACGTCCCGAACAGTGCACTGCTTACATGGTACGTTGGCACTTTCCTGCTCACAACTGCACACACAGCTGGCGGGAAACTCAATCTGAATAATCGCCGCGCAGTGCACACCACACATCAGAAGCGCAGAGTGGACTGTCTGAGTGGCAAGTGTCTCGCTAAGTGCACCCGCACGGCGTCTCTGGCGTCACGCGCAGTCCGCTCATTTAACGCTGGGTGCGCGCGTCCATCTGGCTGGGGGTACTGGCGCGCTACATCCGGACTGGGAAGCCAAGCATCGTGAAACACCTCGCACTGAGTCTCACAAAAATTGTGAAGTATGCAGCACGTTGAGACAATCAGAGGGACCTTGTCCACGTCTACCTCTATCCTCTTTTGCAGTTTGCGCCACCTACCCTTCAGTCGACCAAATGCGCATTCGATGGCCATACGACCTGCGCTATGATAAACATTGAAGGACTCCCGCTCGGCCTCCAGCTGCTGTTGCTCATCCGTCAGGCCTCTGCTCTGTGCCGACGCCAGACTCAGCGCGTATGGCTTCATCAGCCACGGCTGCAGTGGGTACGCAGGGTCCCCGAGCAGGCAGAGTGGTACAGGAACGCCCTCAATCATCCTTGGCTCCTGAAATATGACGGAAACAAACACTCAATAGCACGCATTAACCCTATTCCGGGCGGGCTCTCAAAGGTTCGGAATCGGGCGGGAACCTTTTCGACCCCCTTTAACCCGCGAGTTGCTGGGGGGGGGGGCGTTAAACGCCCCCACTTTTTTCGCCGGGCCATAGCATAAAAACGGCGCGCCGCAGGCGCGCCAAATTTTGGGTACCTGTAGGGAATTGATTGAAATTTATTGTGACAAAGTTTCAAAAAAATCGGTCGGAAAATTTTTGAGATATCGAGGTTTTAGTGATGTCATGATTTATGACTTTTCGACCAAAAACGGCATATGTTCAAAAAATCATATAAAATCACAATATAGACATACAGACATGCCGTAAACGCCATTAGACTGCCAATAGCATGAACAATCAAATGGCTATCTTCGATTATTGATTATCGTTCCGCATTTTCCAAAATCTTGAACTGAATCTTGGCAATTTCTCGTGACTACTTCACGACCATGATACATGCATTTCTTAAATTGAACTTTTTTAGCCAAACACGTACACATATGATAAAATGAATGTCACCATCGTGTTCTACGCCCCAAATTACCCATAAAACATGTGTCACAGGCTGCGAATATCAGTTTTGATTTTTGAGGATATGTGCCTACCTGGTTGACCTGACCTTGACCCTGACCTATGCTTGACTGACCCCTAAATGGAGCTGACACTCTTGTAGGCCTTATATGATGGATTGTGCACCGTTTTGACAGAGTTTATGACGAGAGGCGCCCATTGCGAAGTCCTGAAGCCCATGCTACTGAAAGCCCGATTTCAGGTGTTTGACCTGACCTTGACCCGACCTGTGACCTCAAACTTCAACTTTAAAGTACTCATCTGAAGCGTCTCGTCGCGTTCTTTCGTTTGCCGCCTCGTGCGTTTCGCTGCGCCTATTGGTTCTCGAGTTATCGGCTGGGGGCGTTTAACGCCCCCCCCCCCCCCCAGCAAACGGTGGGTGGCGAAATACCCCAGCAACTGCCGGGTTAAATCTCGAAAACCAAGAATCAGCGACAAACGGTATAGGGCTTTTTATAGTTCGTTGAAAGACCTACGAGTCCAGCCTCGAGTCCGGCTCGGCGTCCCGTGCCACCAGCTCGCCGGCGGCCGACGGCTGCAGGGCGGCCGGCAGTTGCTGGGGCGCTTTGGCCGCTTACAAGATACGCTTTGGCCGAGCGAGACACCAAACGTTAGCACATTGCGCATGAAGAAGACGATACAAAGTGCGTGTTTACCTTTGGTAATCTGGGCGAATGATCTTGGAGAGGAGATGCCGCAAGAATTCCTGCGTCATGGCTGCTACCAGGTGCGCCGCAGTTAATGTTGCGAAACCTGCGCCAAGGAATATAATGTGAAATTCACAAATTCATAACGAGACGGAAGCACGGTACATCATATCCATCATACCACTGACATTGCTACTGTCGCTACTCGCTACCGATATGTTTAGGTCAAACGCCAGATATTCATTGCAAGAAATGTACAACTTAACATGCTTGCTGAGCTGATGTATCTTGTAAATTGCATGCCTTTTGACATACCATTTTTGTCATTACTTGACAACATTTTACCAACATCCATGGCTTGGGTCGCTAATGATGTTATGTGGAATAATTGGGTTTTAAATTGCCAAAGCAATCAATTTCCGAATTGCAATAGTGAACTCATAATGTAGCAGTAGCAGATAAAACTCATCATCATCGCTTAACATCTTCCATTTGCTTTTGAGTAATACACGAGCGTCGAGCATTTAACCATCCCGTCACTGAAAAGTAAATAAACCAAGCCATCAAGCATAATAGTACAGTTTGATACCACATCTAAAAAAGATCACGGTAGTACAAGGTAGCCCAATTCGAAGTACTCACAAGTATCTGTCGTCACAGACGGCCTGGAGCTGTATTGAAGGCCAGCCTTTTCTGTTGACGTAGTCCCGAAAGCCGTCGCTCGGTGCCGTGATTGGAATGTGTGTGCCATCGATAGCACCGTAGGCCTGCGGGAACGACCATTTGGCCTCCCAACGACATGCGATTTCAATGGCTTCGGCAGCAGACGGCAGCTGGATGTAGTCGGCCATGCACTCGACAACTGCTGAGCAGAACCCCAGAAGATGTTTTCTCACCTGCGGCAAGAACGTCACAATCGGTTAATGTGTATCAAAAAACAATATGAAAGGACCTGAGCACACAAAGAAAAAAAAAACGCGCATTATGATGAACTGATACTTGACTTCCAGGCCACTGGCTGGTTCGGGCATCACTGGTGCCACGCAATGTATAATAGATGTAACAATGAACTTGTGCACTTGGTGTGCTGATAAGAGGTCTTTGTGCACTCTGCCTTGCAAGGGCAAAAACGATTGTTAGGTTGACCACTGACCTCTAGCATCAGAGGTCAACCTGATGACCTCTGGCCTGGCATAATCGTTTTTTGCCTTTGCACGGTAGCACTGCACCTACCCTTCTGCTGATGAAGAAGCATACATCAAAAGCATATATCACTGGCATTGACTCCATTAGGATACCTACTGCACAATGCATACCTATTATCATTTATCACATCTTTGAGGCCGGCCATGTTCCACTTACTGTTGTTTTATGGGATCCAAACTGGTTGGCTGTGACACGGTATTCCATGTTGCTGGCAAGGTTGTACAATGCCATTGCCACTCTCTTCTCCAATGGGATGGGTTCCCTCACAGCTGTCGGTTTCGGCTCCATCTTGTAGCGTACGAGGTCAACAAGCTTCAAAAAGGATGTCTTCGTCATTCGGAAGTTTTCCCGCCAGCGATCATCTTCCCATACCTGCAGGCAATAAATACAAAGAATTTGATGCTGAAATCCATGGGAGATAAATATTGCAACAGGCTGAAAACAACAGGTTACATAGGTTACATCAAGTTAGAGGTTATATACAAAACAGTAGGTACACTGAATAGGCCAACAGGGGACAGGCCGGCAAAGGGTGATTGGAGAAAATGATAAAGATAGATGGCTTTAGTAGCCAGTCTCTTGTGCTACCCATTTGTAGTCCTGTTAAGATAAACAAGCACAGAGAAAAGACAGAACCCTGTGACAAGATCACAGCAACATACAATATACATTGCTATGAGTGTATGTCTAATGCAGCCGCAGGTTTCAGTTGAGAGAAACCAAAGAAAAGTCAAAAGTTGAGTCTCAACAGCAGGAACAGTTTCTGTGGTGCCACAAGGGAGAACCATGGAAAGCATTGAAACTGATAAAACAAGAGGTGCTGGATCTGCAATAGCCTTCCAGAAGCAGATTACCATGAACTGTCAAATAGAACTGTGAAAATAGAATTGAATTCTCATTGAACTGTCAAATGCAACTGATTGATCAGTTAGCATGATTTCAGGGATGTAGCCATGGGGGGGAGGGGGCACGGGGCCATGCCCCCTGTGATGGCGAAAAATAAAATAGAATTATATATATGAAAAATAAAAAATAGCTGCACCACACACCCAAAAATAGTGGGCCAAATCTGAGCCCCCAGGAGTTTCACTGTTTTGGAGGAGTAACAACACTAGGGCTGCATATTTGCCTGCATGATTTTCAGGATGGCTAGTATCGATGCTTTAGAAATAACAAAGACCAGCATCAGCTGGAAGACACGTGTAGGTGGGCACACTGTCAAATTTACTTAGGTAAACTATTCTGCAATCTGCATCTTGTGCTTTTACATTCATGCAACTGTTTTAAGCAGAATTTTGTGAAAATGCATTATTAATATTAATTCAGGTTTCTGTGGAAAACAACTTTTCAAAACACTTTTAGCATTGCACCATCATCATCTCTTGTAATGGCATTGCATCATTTCGGCTTTGCACCATTATCTCTAGCATCAGCTGGCAATGCTCGGCACTGCACCATTTCAGCTTTGCACCATCAACATCTGACATCAGCTGGCATTGTTCGGCATTGCACCATTTTGGCTTTGCACAATCATCATCTGACATCAGCCGATACTGCTCGGCTTTGCACCATCATCTGACATCAGCTGGCGTTGCTCGGCATTACACCATTTGAGCTTTGCACCATCATCTGACATAAGCTGGCATTGTTCATCATTGCACCATTTCGGCTTTGCACAATCATCTGACATCAGCCGACATTGCTCGGCATTGCACCACTTCGGCTTTGCACCATCATTTGACATCAGCTGGCATTGCTCGGCATTGCACCATTGATTTTAGCTTTGCATCACCATCATCTGACATCAGCTGGCATTGCTCGGCATTGAACCATTTCAGATTTGCACCATCATCTGACATCAGCACTGGCCAGAGCTGATGCCGGAGATGATGGTGCAATGCTCAAGCTTCTTTTAACATTTTGTTTAAAATCTGGGATTCATATTAGCATGAGTTAGGTTCATTTTCTATTTGTTACAATACTGACAAAATATGCCTAGTGCTTAAAATGTGTCAATGTCAATGTATAGGTAGGTAAAAATAGCCACAAACCTGCATCACTTCTCTTTCGAACCAGTGCTTCCTGAGACGTGGCAGCATCCACCTCCTCCCACCATTTCCAAGCTGTCTCTGAACTTGCTGGAGGTCCATCAAAAGATTGATTATTAACCTGCGCTTCTTTCTCAGACGTTGCTGGGTTGCAGCACAGCTCTTCATTCTCGTCCTAGACACCAAATGGTAAACTGCCTTCTGGCAGTTCACCAAATGTCGCCTACACAGCACTAATAAAATCATCGCCTGTGCCATGAAAATATCAAAATCTTCCATGTTTAAGCCTGTGAAATTACATATCCTGTACACATCAACCCTGCATCAACCCAAGCCACAAACGGCACAAACTTGAAAATATGAACTGGAGTGTGGTCAACTGTCAGAGCTGCGCCAGATATGTAAAAATGCGCAAAATATCCGTATTTTTCGGGCTGCCGGCGTAAAGGGAATTATCCGTTCCGGAACGGATTTTTCCGATAAGGCTCATGTAAACGGGGCCACCGAAACGCATTTTTCCGTTCCCTGGCTAATCGGATATTTCCGTTTAGGCTGAATGACTCATGTAAACGGGGTAATTCATCCGTTATCCCTCATGAATCTCTCGTTGATATGTTCGTTCGGCGGCTGAGGTCATTAATTTCTGGCCAGCGGCGGCCGCACCCGTCTAGCATCGCTCGCCTGTCGGACAGTTTCTCAGGGCTGGCAACAGATGGCAGCAGGCGGCCGGTGGCCCGGCTCCAGCCAGGTGACGCCCGGGGGCGCCCTTGGCAGCAGAGGTGCAAAAACCTCTTCAGCTGTCACATACTTTGCCAGTGGCACACGGACTCTGTCACGCAGCTTCCATCAACCAGGTGATGTCAGCTGACAGAGTTTACATTGAGATGACTGGATGTTACTTTTCCCTAATCTCTGAAATATTGATCATTTCTTGAATCTTAACATATTTAGGACAGGTTCCAATGATAAGCACTCTTATTGAGCACCTTGAGACCTGACATTTATTTCTACTGTTCTTTTCTCAACAATATTCAAACATTAAAACCCTTAAAACACCTGCCTTCGGACTGTGATTATACAAATGCAATAAGTAGGTGTGCATGAACTAAAGTACTTTTAAAAGGCTAAATTATATGATAATTCACTTAAGATTAATAAAATTAAGTTGGTTTAGAGGCAGGAATGACACACAGCCTGGTACACGGCACCCTACACAATGGAAAGCATGAAAATGGGTAAGTGCCTATATGCCGCAAACCAAAAACATTGTCAAGTTTCTAACTAGATGTCAGGTATGGTCAAAGCTATGGCCTAGTTTAAAGAAGGTAAGTACCTACATTTTTGATAGGTACTGAGAATTATTAGAAAAACTTGGATTATGTAAAACATGTAGGCTCTAGCACAAACAAAAACAGGTTATTATGCAAATATAGCCTGAAGGTTGACGGAGGGGCAGCATTCGAGCTGCCCAACATTTTATTAATTTTCCCCCCAAGGTTTTGCACATAAAAATGTGATGCCAACCTTAATCTAAAATATTTCATTGATATGATTCAAATAAAAATGTGAATGCATCCTAAATACATTTTTATCTATTTCAATTTTGACAGCAGGGTAGACAGCCAAAATTGGATTCTCATATTCACTTATGCCAAATTTTCTGACTGAGTTTTTGTATGCTGACAGTTTTAGCTGAATCTCACCTCAAGGCTCTGTTATTGGCTATTGCTCGTCTTACATCATGCCATCCTGGTCCACATGCTTCAAGACTGATTGAACTATAAATATCACTATCCACAGCATACATCTTGTGCTCGGGGCATACAAACAGCCCGCACATCTTGCCCGCGCAGCCGTAGTAATGCTGTTGGATCCCATACTGCCTCACCTCACCTCCCCAGCCCGGCTAAGACACTCAAAACACACTGTCACAAACTGTCACAGCCGGCGTGACAATCCGCCAGCCCCTCGCCAACTCCACGGCCAGGCAATGGGGATTTACATGGAGACAGCCGCCGTGTGACAGAATCCGCCGGCTTTTTGCAGCCCCCCGTAAATGCGTACAGTTATGACGCAGCCGTTACGATTATAATCCACAGCTAATTTACTGCAAAAAGTAAACTTACTGCAAAATAACAAATGAATAAAAGTGGAGCCCCGTAGTAGCTACCTATCTTACTATTCGCAGTTTATATGGAATATAGAACCTGACACTCTAATTGGTGTCTACTTGACTGCAATCTGTCACGTTTCATGGGCTAAAAGTGCTATCTCTGGCACATACTCTGGTTGGCGAGTTGGCAGGTTTTTGCACCTCTGCTTGGCAGCCGGCGCCCCGACCGACACGTCGCACTTGGCAGACACGGTACAGAGGGCCCGGCCCGGCGCGTGGCCCGGCCGGCCGACCCCGCGGCAGGGGTTACCGGGTGCGAACTCGAAAGGTCCGGACCAGACTCGTGCTTCATTTAGAGGATGGTTCGAGTGAGCACTGAGCATTATAGCAGACAATACTCAAGACAGATCAATCAGAGCAATCTGAGACATGAATACCGCAAGATGGTAATACAGCATGCCAAACATCAGGATGTTACCGTAGTACGACAATGGCACGAACAATTGTTCTCAATCGTTTGGAACAAGACCGTAATAAGAATGAAAGTTGAACGAATCTGATGACAAAAAAAAATTATTCGTCAGGCGTAACATACCAATGCTCCTAGTGCTTTAGAGATCAGATTGAATACCACATCGTCAGCAGCTTCGCGCATCACCAAAGGCCACATCCGAAAGCCGATTTCCCGTTTCATAGCAGCAAGACGACGTGAACACAGAACAGCCCTCCGGGCCTGTCAGCGGTGGCCTGCGAGGGATTTCACGACGACGCCCCGTCGCAGGAAGGGTAGCTCTCCGACAAGGGCCGGATGTGCAGCGCTGCACACAGTCTGTGGGATTGGGAGAGACGTTTCTCGTCAGCCAACTCGAGCAGATAATCGCGGACAAAGCTGACGGACAGCCGGCACCCCACCGCCGCCACGCGCGGAGTCGAGAGGAGACAGGTCGAACGAAGAGAACAAGGCCGAAAAGCCCGAAGAAAATGGTGCGCATCGGCAAGTTGAGCCAGATACAAAGAAGGCAGACATTAGAGGTAAGCAGAAACAATCAATCGCAAAGCAGACCGGGGAGAGGTCATGCGTAGGCCGCCGTGTTTCCTCCCACAGCGCACCATGTCCACGACGTACCCCTTGCTGTGAGGCTCAGCGGTGTGGTGCCGACAGGAGACATTCCACCGGCCGTGATTCACAACAGGGCCGGTTGGCGGCGGCGCAGCGGCCGCGCTGGCAGCGGGCCACAGAAGCCGGACGTGCCCGCCGAGCGGCCAACAGACACAGCAGCGGTCCCGGCCGTCACAACCACCGACAACCAGCCCAGGCCGTCACAACCAAGTCACAACCGCCGCCGGACCACCCAACACAACCACCGACAACCAGCCCAGGCCGTCACAACCAAGTCACAACCTCCGCCGGACCACCCAACACAACCACCGACAACCATCGTCAGCCGCCACACACGTCTTCGGACCATCCAGCACAGACAAAACAGACGAAAGGGTGCCGCGATCCTGATCTAGCCACAAGACTCATAGCCATCCAGCTCAATATCTACGTTATTCCAGTGGGCATAGAAAGGCAGAACACCATAAAACACGAGTCAGTGGGTCTTCCCAATCGTTTCTTCTGATCGCTAATCCGCCAGGATAGGGCACTAGAGTTGACTGTCATGAAGCTATTAGTCGCTGTGACAACGAGCAAACCCAACGAGTGAGCGAGTAAACCCGACATTGGGCTCGGAACGTCAACGACCCCGTTCGTGTCACCGCCAGGCCGGGAGGCGATCCGTCTGTCTGACTTTTTATCCGCCTTTCCCGTCGTCTGCCCAACATAACGTCTACGTTTATTCGTCTGTCCACCCGTTTGTCCGTCTATGTCGTTCAGCCAAGATGCCGGTCTACCCGCCTGTCCTTCTGTCCAGTCTGTCTCCGTATGTCTACTTGCTTGCATAAGCGTCTATATGGAACGTCGAGTAAACAGCTCTCTGTCCGACATCCAGCGCAATCCGTTAGCAAAGACATCCCCACACCTTCACCGCCGCCATCGCCATCACCATCGCCGCCGACAACGACAATGAGCGACGAGCTGCGCGGGTCGAGCGGAGACAAATAGAGGACGGCGCCGGGGCCGGCCTGTCGGGGCCGACATGACAAAGGGAAGGTCACTGAGGCGACAGAGCCGGGACAGCTGCCAGGAGCAGCCAACAGGCAGCAGGCCGGGTCGGGGCGGGCGGAAACGGAGACACGGCGGCAGTATTGGGAACACCACGGGACGCGCTCACCTAAACCAGATACATCCATCCAATTTAGCCACACAACTTGTCTCTACACACCTCAATAAGCACCGAATGCTGCGTTTTGCGAGAAAAGCAGCGTTTCAATAGAGCCTTTGGTAAAGCCGGCAGCTCAGGCCGACATTTAGCGGGAAACCCCCGGTGGCTCGACCAAATCAACTGTCAGCTATCGACAACTCGAAGCGAGCCAGCCAAACGGAAGACTATCACCATCACGCCGGTTCGATGGTCGATAGCGTGTGGTTGGTGGCATCGGGCGGTGGGCGGCGGGCGAGTAACATCAGCCCGAGACCAGTCAAAACAGCACAAAGGACAACGATGCAGAGCTGCGTCGTCAATAGAGAATAGAGGTTAGAGGATGAAGGAAGATGAGTCCGAGAACGCCGGCAGAGAACATAAAACTAAGACCAAGGATTCACCAAGCAAATCTTAGTGCAAGACTTTACCTACCACATCGGTCTGTCAAGAGAAGACTCGAGACTGTCGATGGATGATCGCAATAGTAAGGCAGACGTGCTCTATGATCTTCTTCAAAAAGACCACCACCTACCAACATCCTGGATCAGAGTCTGGTTTATTCGGATCAGGCTCCGATCCCGGATCCCACCCAGATAACCACTTACAATCTAACTTCTAACTCCAGCAGAACATTGCTAGGACTCTGAGCTACCACCACGTTGTGCCAAGGCAAATACAAAGTTAGTCAACTTTGACAAGCCCACGCCGGACTCCCACACTCCTCTAGAAGCGGCTACAGGGGGGCTGGCTCGGGGACCTCCGCCATCCACCGCTGGCCCTGTGACGCCTGGTCAGGCTGATCCCCGCCGAGGCAAGCCCAGGGGGACCGCAGCAGCCCGCTGGCCGACAAAGCGCGATCAATGCACAGAGCAGACGCCGCCGCCGGCCGCCGCGCCGCCCAGCCACTGTCATCAGGCTGGTCAGTGACGGTACTGAGTACTGACCACTGGGTCACTGTCAGCTGACCGTCACTGGGGCGTCACCGCCACTGTCATCGGGATGATCAGTGACAGTACTGGGTCACTGTCAGCTAACCGTGACCGTCATTAGGGTGTCACCGCTTCTGCCACTGGGCTGGTCAGTGACAGTACCTGGTCACTGTCAGTGTCACCACTCGCCTGACTGTGTTTTGGCGTCACCAGAATTGTCACAAATCACAACGGAATTAAACACAACATTATAGCGGTTTCTCTAAAGGCTAACAACGCCGTTCAGACCCCAGGCATCACCCCTTCGCAAAAGCTCGCCTGAGCTGTAGTCAGCTCTTGCCCGGGCCGAATAAAGGGAAACCATTACAGAATGAGAACACATTAGCGCCGTAACAGGGCTATAATGACCATACCATCGCGCTCTTCAACAGCTTGGATCGAAGATTCATGAGCCGAGCTTCAATTAATTGCTTTCTCAGTACACAGACGGGCCCTGGGGGAACTGCGGAGACTGCGGGAGCTGAGTTCAGGGGCCCGGACGAGCTGCGGCAGACCCCGGACGAGCCGCACAGGACCCGGGACGAGCTGCGGTGGACCCGGGACGAGCTGCGGCAGACCCCGGGACGAGCTGCGGTGGACCCCGGACGAGCTCCTGCGGGTCTCGGACGAGCCGGCCGCGTGCCGGAAGGGCGGAGCCGGTCGGTCTGGCACGTGCCGGGAGCGTGCGGTGTCTGCCGGCCGGTCGGACACGGAAGCGGCGCCCGGCCGATAATCGGCACAATTGCCTATCAGAGCACCGATCGGCGCTAGGCAGAGCGGGTCAGAGGGAGCGGCAGAGCGGCGGGAGGGAGCGGAGAGAGCGGCGAGAGGGAGCGGAAAGAGCACGGCGCCAGATAGAGGGTCGGGGGAACGGCGGAGCAGACGGTGGCGGCCGGGAGAGCAGTCAGAGCGAGCAGAGAGCGGAGTTGCAACATGACGGAGACAGAACCAAAGTCTCACTGGTTACGCAAAACAGGGCATCGGAAATAAGCGTGGCGACAAACAATCAACACGAGACAGCCACTTGCGTTCGGCCCATTTCCACTCTCCCAAACAACCACAGATGGAGGCAGCGACCGAGCGGAGTCCGGCCGCAGTCCAGTGATGAGTTGACTCGGTCGGGTGGTCGGCGGGGTTCCACCGCGAGCCGTGGAGCCTGAGCCAATACCATCGCCAGCGATCGGCCATCCCACAGATGGAAACGCCAACTGGCGAGGCGGAGCGAACCGGACGGGGCCGAGAGAGGAGGCCGAACGGAGAGCCCGCCACGAGACGATCCGGAGAGGCCACTTCAGCCGAGCGGAATCACAACATCCGTCGGCGCTCATCCGCGGACGGTGTTTGTTGAGCTCGGACTGATCGGGCCGTGATGGAGGCCACAGATGGAGGCTGTACAACTGTACGTTTGCTACGTGTATTGATGCTTTGTTTTATAGTCTCTTTGAAGCTATGCAACGCAACACCAACACCGGATTAACGGATGATCTTCAAATCTCGGCCCTTCTCTAGAAACACGACTCTGATCCACGGCCCGATCAGTCCGAGCTCAACAAACACCGTCCGCGGATGGGCGCCGACGGATGTTGTGATTCCGCTCGGCTGAAGTGGCAAGCTGAAGCAAACGTACAGTTACTTTTCGGTTGCCTAAATTTGAAAACAACATCTCTGATCTCTAAGAACGACTACCTTAGTTCTCTCCTCACGCTGGTGTAACCAAGTGTTGTCATGATGTAATCTTTGAAAACAACCCTCCATCACGATCACCATCTTCGACAGGCACGATTCAACACCACCCCGTCTCCAGCACCGAGATTCTAGCCCCAGTTCCGGAGTTCCGGGCCTGAGTCGGCCGTCTCCACGCCAGTGGGCCGGGCGGCGACAGCGGCGGCGGCGGCGGCGGCGGCGGCGGCGGCGCTCCTACTGCCGCCGGCAAACGGTCGATACAGACGGGCACTGCCGCTTCCGCCTCCGTCTCCGTTCGGCCAGTCCGCCAGGGCCCGCCCACAGTCCAGCGGAGCCGAGTGAACTTGAGCTAGGACTGGGTAGATCAGGATCGATAGCAGAAGACACGTGATAAAATACTGCCCCGCGTGCGAGTATCAACGGCCAACTAATGGCGACCTAATGGAAATCACATTTCAGGAACCGGGAATCCGGAACTACAGTTGAAAACGGTGGAAAATCGAGTCTGTTTGAGTTGAAGGCCAAAGGGCGGGGGCCACGCGCTACGGGCAACTCGAGAGAACTTCAGGCCTCAGCTGCAGACAATAGCCGAAACACACTGCTGAACAGCGGATCTCTCCGGATATCAGAGTCCAACTTGGAAAACTGTCCAGGACACCGGACAATGGACGGTCGTAATCACATCAGCGGCAAAGTTCGGACCTTACTGCCCCGTCGGAGAAGCGCTTAACCCCGTCAAAGTCCTAACACCAAAAGAAAAACGCTGCTAAAATCACTCCGACTTTTGAAGATCCCAACCTCATCGGCTTCTGCAATTAAATTCACGGCGCAGCCGCGCCGCGCCAGGTGACTTCCACCGAGGCGAGCAGCGGCGCCCAGGCTTGGCGCCTTGCACACGGCACGCCCAGCGTATTGATTGGAAAACAGGCGGCGGTCCGGGCCGTCGGCAGCGGTCTCCCCGGCGACAGACTGCGGACGGACCTGCCGGACACCCGTACAGACGGTGCAGGCAGACGAATAACGACAGAGAGCACCGGGAGACGATAAAAGGCTGACGACAGACACTGCCGGCAGAAGGCAGACAGCAGACAAAGGTGCAGGGAGACGGCAGGAAGGAGACGATAGGCAGCACCAAAAGACGGCCAGCAGACGGCGACGACCGTGGCAGCGGTCACGGCCGGTCTCTTACTGACCGGACCGAGCGGTGACCGGTCACGAGCAGAGAATAGTTATATTTGCGCTACGTGTATCTCCACTCCCGGCATGAAATGTTGTCACCAGGCACCACTGCCCAGCCGCCGCCCCTGAGCGCAGGCAGTCATCGCACCACCACCGCGCTGGTGGGCGGCTGAGCCAAGCCGACCTGCAGTGCGCTCCACTGGGCGAGCACCGGCGAGGAAGCCGTCAACCGAGCCGGCGCGGCCGGGCGGTCGGCGCGGGCGGAGCCGCCCCCGCGCGCTCGGCGGCCGGCCTCCACCGGTCGATCCGAGCTCCGGGGAAGCGTCGCATTGACGGCTGGCGGCCCGTCGTCGGCGACGACGGGATGCGGAAGGAGCGACGGCGGCGACGGCGGGGAACGGGCGGCGGCAGTCGGCTACAGCCGACCAGACAACCGATGGCCACAGACAGGAAATTAAACTCCGACGGGAGACAAAAGTTACTTTAAGGAGATGGTTTCCAGGGTGGTTGATAGTCACATATATAGCATGGTATAGCCAAGCGAATATACTAGCGCGATGTTTTGCAAATCGTCAAACTCATAATAAATGAACTACAACAGCAGCATGGAACACGAATAATTGTTGCCTCGGGCAGCAAATGTGATCTAATGTAATATAATTAGGCGGAAGAAGTTATGATGGGTTTCCAGCAGCTCAGAAAGTGGGTCAGCCCGGAAGGAGAGGGGAGGGTCAGGGAACGGCTGGATACAACTACACAGAATTTAAACATTCCTATTGATTTTCGAACTTCGGGGAAAAGCAAGTAATTATATTAGATAACAATAATATATCACAGAGAAAAAAGAATTGTTGAACACTTGACTACCGTGTACCGAGCGAAGGAAAAGAAGCCGAGTCATGCATGTCAATCAATGATTACACGCACACACAGCCAGACTGTAAATCTACATTGGGACTTCCGGTTGCATGTAGCATGCCACAGCCACATCGAGATATATCAGACTTTGGACTGGCGTGCCCAGTAACCGCTTACATTTGGAAAATTTTAATGCTTTGATGACCCCTTTCAAATTTCAAAGGTAAATCAGATAAAGCACTTTTGTTTTCACGAGTAAAGTCATAACTCCTACTCAACCAAACAGCCTCAGCAGCATGCGATATTCCCATTTATTAACTACCACTTCCGGTTCCGGAATCTCGACAATTATCACGGCGAGCCCTTGGCCTTTTCATGTTCCATTTCCCAGAGTGTCCTGCACTCGAAGCACGCTCATCTCCGGTCTGCTGATTCAGTCTAAAAGGTCGCGATTGATCTCAGCTGCCTGCGTGGGATCAGAAGTGGCCCTCTCCGCCGGCACAGCCTCCCACGGCGGCACGGCGGGCTCCGCCACGACTAAATCCGCCCCATCATGAGCCAGCACGTGTTTTCTGTCGCCAGACGGCCACCAGTAATGCCTCGCGATGATGAATAATTCGCCCGGCGCCGCCTCACCGATGCAAGTCTGCGGCCGCCACCGCAGCTCGATACTCGTGGATCAATTACGGCGGACCGTGCGCATCCGCAACGTCTCAGCCGCGTGCATAATACAGCTCGCGGAAAAGTCGAGAATCGCCTGGCCGCGGCCGTTACCCCTGACCGGAAACCCCCTGCCCAGCGGAGGGGTTCGACTAAGCGCACTGAAGCCGGCCGTGAGATTCGTGGTCGGCCTGGCCTCCAACAGGTGCCTAGTAGGCTATCCATCACGGTGAGAGGCGGGGCACGGCGCCGGAGCGGGCGCGGCACGGCGCCGGAGCAGGCGCGGCCGGCCGCTTCCACCGGGCACAGGTCGGCACGGATCGCTCCCGACGTGACACCATCGGCGGGCGGGGTCGGCTGAGCCGGACAGGACTGACTTCGATCGGACGGGCTGGGGCGGTCCGAGTGTCAACCAGCACTTAACAGCTGTGGTTGCGAAACTGTCAAACTCGTCGGGAGAGGCAGACACCATCATATGATAGGCATATGTATACAAAATACCAAAATCTGCTGGTATATCTGCTAACAATATCAGTTGGCACAGTTACAAGCTGGCTTGCATTACGAACGTTCTCAGTGAACTCGATTTTAGAAGTACGGCGACCACACACGCTTATATTATTTAAGAATTCCACCAATACAAATGCAGATCCAAATCAAAGACAAGAGATCAATGGATCGACGGACTACGTGGTACATTGGTTGCAGAGCTAACTGGCAGCTACACATGTTGGATAACTCTGCCGGCAAACAGGGCTCGTCCCGACAGGGAACACCGGTCGCACCCGGTGGAAGTGACCGACACTGGCCAGCCGACCGGTACAGCGACCCCTGCCGAGCGCGGACCCACAGCTGCCCCCCCCCCCCCCCCCGACTGCTGCCGTCTGCTGATCGATACCTTCGGAACGGCCCGGATTCATAGCATTGTGGCCCAGATACTTCATAAAGATTCATAAAGAGTGAGCGTCGGCTTGAGTGTCAGCGGCGGACCGACGTGGTATCCGCGGCATTTTAAGCTAGCGTATGAGAATGCGGACGGGTGCTTTGATGTGCGAGCCAAAAGCCGCCGCCCTGCCAGTCATCGGTCTAACTGATGATGTAGAGAAATCACCATACGAAATAAAAGTTATGCCATGGCGTTACGTGTTACTTAAAAATGAGCTGAGGTGCAACAGTTTGTAACTTCAAATCTGTGACAATTTGTCAGGGCAATAGAAATCGAAAATTACACAGATACACTAATAAGATCATTCCACTTACAGCAGGGGAGGGAGGCGACGCACACCACAACTCATTATAAACATAGGAGATTTGGATTTTATTGAACTTTTTTATATAAAGTTCCACCACATACTAAACTCAAGCCATCGAACAAGTAACAAGCTCATGAAGTTTGGTCATTGAGACCCAGTTGGGGCTGTAGATGTGGTGTGCCATTCCCAGAAAATCTAGAATGGGCTAATGGATTATTTGAAAGTCATGCATAAGTTCACTGCAGTATGATATATCTCTAAAATAATCTTGACAACTTCTGATAAATTACCTAAGCAATTAGTTAAATAACAAATTTCATACACACACTCAATACTGGATGATTTCATTATAATCTCCAATGTCTAAGGAGCAGACTCTCATGATAGGAGTACAAATAACACAAAGCATCCTAATGACATGAGTAAATTTACCACATAATTACCAACATAGGCTCATTATTAGGAATGCTCACCATAATAAGTGACAAGTTTGTCCATTTTTACTGATACAAACCTAAAAAGTGCATACTTCACATTTACATATATGCAGTGTAAACCTACAGGCTCCCACTGACCAGTGACTACCCCACCCCAACACCACACCAGCAGCTCCAAACACACTACAGCTGACACCGCGGTAGCCTGCGGACACCCCCTCACCTGGTCTGTGGTCTCCAGACAAGGACGGCTGATCATAGCGTGCGGAGTCGACGGCGGCAGTCAGCCGGACACACCTGGAACATGCAGTGGGGTCAGCTGGTGACCAGGAAAAAAATCACCATTCTGAGATGAGTTGTTCAAAAGGGACAGGGGGTGGCTAACATATTTTAGCCAACACATCGGTTATTTGGTAGGTATGGACTGTGCTGTGAACGGCGAACATCAGGTTTTTATGTTAAATTGGACAAACAAATAAAAGCATAATTCATGAATTTACAGCAACACATGTTGCAATTTCAAGCTAAAAGCATCCCTACACGCCACATATTGACAAAAAAAATGCATGTTGATGGAACAAAAGCAGAAAACAGTGAAGTGGCGCTGCTGAAACTTCGGTGACCTATGTTATGACAAAAAGCAAGTATTAACCAAAAAATGTGACAAAATAATAAATAAGAGACAACCCACCTTAAACCACCTGGATCATCTACAAACCGAATGCCGAAATCGCACAAAAATACTTAATAAATTCCAAATAAATTCAAGCAATAGCCATATCCATTATCCACGGTCATAGAATACTAATACTAATACTAATACCAAGGCTATGGAACTCCAGGTAAGGACACCAGCCGTTTGACCTTGAACGCCGCCAGCCGACCGATGACGTCATTGGAGGCAAGCCGGCTCGGCGGACACACAGGGCGAATGCATAACGGAGGGGCGTTGGAACGTTGCGGGAGCCAGGGAGATATTTTAAAGTGGTTGCATACCACCATTGTTTGTTGATTGATCTACAGACTGCATTCTTTTAAACCTCGATGCATCCTAGGCCTGGATGGTGCGTACATTCGTGGAACGATCACCCCGTCCGACGTCCGTGGTCGAAGCTGTCATAGTATTTAAGACACTAAGACGGGTGCAATAACGGCGATCCGATCCCATCTCTGGCGAATCTAGAGGGGTCGTAAGGACCCAGGCCGAATCTGACCGTCTATTTTTAGGGAAACGGGGTGGGTGGATTGACAACCGATGGCTTAAGAGATGATGAGAAGGGATCCCGTCGTCGATTGTTGTTCGACAGACAACACATGTGTTGTACTGGGCGTATGACCATCAGAGGTAATGCCTGAGCGTAGGCAAGCATAATTGGTCTGTCATATTGTTTAGGAATATAAAATGGTAATGGAGATCATTGAGGATATGATCTCTACATTACGGGAATTCACTAATTACTACGGCCCATAGGGGCACCGCCGGAGCTGTTGTTTTGCCATCGGTCTCAGGCAACTCCAGGGAGCTGCAGTACCTGGCGGCCAAAGCGGCCACCTCGTCGACTCGCAGGTCCTCTGGGATTCCGTGATGCTTTAGTGCTTCACCCACAGAAGCACGGGCATAGCAGTAGGATGTGGGGCTAGGTGTCTGTCCACCTCTTCATTGAAAGAACAACGTGTACAGCGCCTGGTCCCGCCGAAGCTCGGTATCGACCGTGACTTATTCACAACTGGCGGATCCAGGAAGCGGTATTGGACACTGCGGGGGCTTACCCCAAAAAGGTTTCTCGGAATTAATTTAAAAAACTCGGATTTCGATTCCTTGCGCACTGCTGTGCGGTGTGATTAACCAACATTTCCTCAGAAAAGTTGTGAAGTTTTCATTTATTCTCGAAAATCGATTTCGGGCGCTGCCCTGGTTGTTGGGGAAGACATTTGCCCCAAATGCCTTCCCCTGGATCCGCCAGTGGCCGTTGCACCAATCCGAGCTTGACTAAAGACGTCTTCAAACCTCACCAGAAACCGATGGTTAAGGTGAATTTAAATCCAATAACTCATCTCTGTCTGCCCGCCTAAATATACTACACATGGTACAGCACCGGCCCTGTCGGAGCTATGAGCCGATCGTGATATTTTCGGCTTTCCCCATCCCAAGCTCGATTAGAAACGTTCTCTTTCCCCACCCGATTGCTGATGTCAATTCAAATTCAATGCCTCATCTCTGTCTGCCCGACCATAACCCATTCATTGCACACCGTTCATCGCCCGGCCCCGCCAGAAGTATCCTAGCGCGCTGAGCAGTTGCCTCCAGCCGCGTCATCGCGAGGCCCCGCGCGGCCCATAAATGAATACATTGCGCGAATAGCCGTGTCGCCCCCCTGACTAATACTGGCCATATCCCACTGCATGAAAACACTAGTTTAGGCAAATATGACGCACATAGGCAGTCACGAAGTAATTTGGTAGCTTATCCTACCAAATGATGAAGGAATTTTTATCTGAAGGATAGGTCCCATTGCAACCATAGAAATGCTTTTATATCGGATTGCAACAATAAAATCTCGATAAAAACTCAGGTAAGGGCACCACACGGTGCAAAAGGCATTGTAAAACTCGACGTCGCAAGCATCATCACTCAGACTCTATGATGACCCGCGAGCGGTCACGGCCGCTCGGAGCTATACCTAATGCCGGGCTATTTCAATCAGTTGTGAGTTGACATCTCAAATAATTGTCCAAGCTGGAGCTAGGAGTAGGTCCTTCTCGTTTCGCGTCTAGTTAGTTCTAACTTCTAGCTTAGTCTTTGGCAATGTTTCTCGTACAGGTGCGTATACCGGTTTAGTACCTAGGATTTGGTCAGAGGGGGGGGGGGGGCAGAGGAATCCCGGGCCCGGGGCCTGCATTCTGTTTCTACAGAGGGTCTCCCTCTAACGGGGCCTCCTCTCTACAGAGGAGGGCTTCCCTTCTACAGAGGGCCTTCTCTCTAAAGGGGCCTCCTTTCCGAGAAGGCCTCCTACCTAAGGAGGACCTCCTCTCTTATACTGAGGAATCAGAGGGGCCTAGCGGTCAGACAGAGACACAAGCGGTTATTCACAGGAGGCCCCAGGTAGTAAGAAGGACCCTAGCTTTTATAGTCTGGTCAAGGGTTCTGATTGTCCTGACGTGATTTTTGGGATTCCCGTGAAGTTCGTTCGCCCCCGTGATTTTAACCAACGTGGGCCTTCGGCCCGCGGGAGCCCTGTTTCCATCCGGGGCCCTGAAAACCCCAAGGGGGCGCCCCGTCCACCCCCTCCCTCTTGGGTACGTCTCTGATCTTGTAGTATTGTCATTGTTAGGTATGCTATCGGGACAGGGGCGGAGCTTCCTATTCAGTTGGTGGGGGCGGCTGCCCCAGCCCCCACCAACTTGGTATTTTTCCCCACCAACTTTAGCTGATTTCTAAGACTTTGTTGCTTTGCAAATTACCAGTAATCTGTTTCGCATTGAAGAGCTTAGGAATGTCTGTTTAATGCAAAATATTATATATGTAATGAGGAATTGATTCAGTGTGGCATTTTATTTAACTTCATAATCGGACATGGTGGGTTTAACTACTTTTCCCGGCACCAACTTCCCTGGAAAAGCTCCACCCATATATCGGGAAGTATAGGTACCCGGCATCCATGGCCTATTATCAATACACAAATCACGCTTTAGATGCGGCTCAGCCGCTGAGCCTTTTTGGCGCACATTCTCTGATCAGCCTCTCAAGGCGGACAGGCGGTCACATTTCAGCACCGAGTTGATGGAGGCTCTGGCGGCACTTTTTAGAGGCGTCCCGTACCAGTCGGTTGGAGCCGGGCCGGCGCGGCGGCCGCCGCCGCTGGCAGCTGCCCCGTTTGGCCGGCTCCAGACGGCCGCCGCTGCCGACCCGTGTGCCTTTGGCTCCACTTGGCAGGTGCCCGAGGTCGCGCCACCGCCGCCGCAGCCAACGCTAAAAATATGCGCGTGCGCTTGCGCGTTGCACCTCGCGATGATGCCCAGGTGTCGGCGACGGCGGCGGGACGGCTCGGCACGACACGGCCCCGGCCGCCGGTAAGAGCCAGGGACAGCACTGGGAGCCGGTGACGTCATCGGTCAATGGCGGCGGCGTCTGTAATTTCCGCCGCAGAAGACCCGGTGACGCAGGTGGTGGCTGTGCAGAAATGAAGCTCGACCAGTATGACCAGAGCTGTGGGGTTTTACTATAAAAAGCGCCCGTTGAGTCGAATAGTATGGTTGCCTTTATGTGTGCGCCATCTAAGATGATTAAACGATCGGGTATCATGAATGTCGACTGAATACTTTAAACCGTCCCTATTTTACAGTCCGTGGCCCGTGCAGTCCGGAGTGACATCACCCCCTCCTTTAAATAACGGGCATTAATCGGTTGAGGTAAACGTTTTGGATCAGCATCTATACCTACTCTCATCGTGCCTTGAACTCGTCAAAGTTATCGCAAAACTTATTGCCACCACAGCCGGAATCATTAGGTCGATACGGATAAAGATAATATCACAGGTCGTCAATCGGTGTGCCTAAACGGCGAATGCACGCATTTCGGTAGGTATGACACGGCGCAGAATCCCAGAAAAGGAGTCGTTGAGCGATATTTGTTTTTCCCTTGGAAGTAGATCCAAAACTACTAAAGCTGTGGGTGGTTGTCTTCCCATTTGCTACATCCATAAGTTTAATACGACAAACGTCCAAGTGATTGAACAGCCGACTCTGTCCAACGAATTGAATACAGCCGATTTATTCCAGCAATATCGTCGGCCCGATCTTTCAGTCGATGTCCGACTCGCCATAGTTTGACAACGCCGGCGCGGGGTGTTTGGGGCACTCGCTATCGCCCTCCCCATGAGGGCTGCAGACTTTCCGAGAACCCCTGAATCGATGGCCTTGAAGGACGGCGGCAGGACCGGGGCCGGATTATTTAATCAGACCGACCACGCACCGCAGCCCCACGCGACCGGGGGCCACATTTTACTGTTCGCGGTCGAACTGACAGCCGGTCGAACGGCCAACAATCTGCACTGCTGCAGTCTGCAGGAGCGATATAAAACTGATCCAAACAGGCGGCATTGCGACAGTATAGGTATCGGGTGGGGAAGGGAAGGTCGTTTCCTATAGGTATCTTGGGAAGGACACCGGTTTGGAGAAGCATTAGCATTTGCATTGCATAAAATAACGCAATTTATTTACCTAACAAGTCAAAGTTGAGGACTCGTATAAAAGATCAGCACCAGAAAGTTTAGTGCAAATAATGTCTTTGATAGTCAGAAGCGTTCTAAGGACAGTGTGATATGAGCCGTCTTAGGGGAAGCCGGGGGAAGCCCGGGCGCGGGGGAAGCCCGGCCACCCCGTTTCCGGCTAAATTATTCACAATAAAATGCTCAACTGTTTGTCCTTTCAGCGTGGCAGCTAAGGTAACGCCAGCAAAAAAGTTAAGACTGACAAAAATTGCATATTGTTAAAGTTATAGCGCAAAAATGATATTTTAAGGGTTTTTAGCTAAAAAGTGAGATATGTTGCACTGTTAATGTTATACCATACAGTACTAATATTTATACGAATGTTATGTAAGGACCGTTTAAGTGTTTGTAGTGAGGGGTGACGAGGCAGGCTGGCTTAAGTATGACATTTTTTTCAAATATCGCTGTTCTAAAATAAAAATTAGCACATTGGGGTAACCCCGGGCGAGTGGCCAAGCTTACCCCAAACCGAGAGCAATGCCACTAAACCACTGTTTTCCATGAGATAATAGGTACTGAGCAGGTTTGGTTTACACCTAGATCAAAGATAAATTTCGAAAATAAACATGTTATCATAGACAAAGCCAGTCATGTCACTTAAGGTCAACTAGGGTCAAACTACGTTTTTGCAGATAACGCGACAGACAATGAAGCTAGAGCTTCAAAAATGGTGTCGTTGTGTTCTTCTTCATCAGCCGAGTCGAATGATATGCAATATGATGCATTAAGGTAAAAAGAAAAATAAATTTTAAGGAATTTTGAAATACACATTTTTTGTCAATTTTGCATCACGATTTTCATCGACCTGTACTGTATATGTAGTAGACGCTGGCTAAAATACCAGTAATGACATAAACTTTAAGATGTCCAGAGCTAATAAGTACCTTAATATTTCACTTTCCGTTAATATTTGGAAAACACATAATGGTTTCATCAACTCGTTGTAAAGCGCTGGGGAGGTGGCCGGCGTTACCCCTATGCCGGGCTTACCCCAGAAAAATCAACACTTTTTTAAAACTCGATTTTCTCAACCTTATACTTATTCCACGAAACCGAATTTTTGGGAAAACACGGCCAATGAACTTAGCTAGCTAGCAGGATATCAACATTTTATACAGCACGTATGGTATGTAATAAAAATGAAAAAGAGCTTACTATGCCGGGCTTCCCCCGGCTTCCCCTACATCGTGCAACCCTCGACGTCCAGTTTTCGCCACGCTTCTATCCGAGGAAAGCCTGTAAAATTTATACAGTAATGATAACTATATTATCTAATCCTATCTAAAGGGTAAATCAGGTTCTCAGACTCTAGGTAAAAGAGCAACTTATCAATTCAATAATTGATTGAAAGCCTTATTTACGCTAAATTGTCATAAGTCGATCGTCTTGTCATCAGCTTGACTATGACTCATAGGTATAATCGTGTGTAATTTTTCTAATAGTTTTAGGTACTATTATAGACGAAATCATGCTGTTTTTGAAGTAACTGATTTTTGACCGGTCGAATAAGTTTGATACGAAAGAATAAAAAATATAGGTACAATCAAAACATAAAAGTAAACGCCAGAGATAAGCGATATTGAGCATTCCACATTACAAATGGCGGAGAAGAATGTCGGTCTATAAAATTAAGCATACGAGTACAACGATATTAATTGTTTCTTTTTTAAGTGCATGCTTACACTTGCCCCAGACATCGTAAGCAAGGTAAATATGCATTGAAACAATCAGCGGCTGTTGTTAAAATCTCAAGTCCAAGTTTTATGCCGAATAGGTGTGTAGGAACCAGTCAAATCGTTCCAATAAAATGCATCAGCAAAAATGCAGCGAATTGGTCCTAATTTCATCACAACTTTCACCAAGCCATAATCTAAAACAGCCGAATCAAAGGATTGTTGTTTGTGACTCAGTTGTTCTAATAGATGCGATAGCTTAGACAATAGATGCCATTAAAGTAATATATGCGATCTAAGGAAAACATAATTGCAGTGTAAATATAATCGATAATAGTTCTAAAAATGAAGACAAAAACGAACACCACATTAGTTGAGCTGGCTCGTTTGCAAACAAAGAGCATCGGAGGTGGCCCGCCGCCCAGCCGCCGAACCAAGCGCTAGAAGCCAGGACTGCTCAGTGCTCACGTCTCGAAACAGCGGGCGAACTCCCAGTCAGAGACGGCTGACGGCTCGGGAGTAGCGCGAGTGCCACACTCACCCAGATCTGATATTGATTCACCTTCTATTGATTATCCCAGTCGGGATGTTACTGGAGCTCTCTACAATCCGATAGTAGTGTCCTATATAGTATATACAGTTAAACTGCCTTTCTAATTTCCCGATTATATAAAAAACAACTGTGTTTCTATTCTTCGAAATGCCACATTCACCAATGGCGACAAAGGGTCTTTTGTCACAGGCCGTCGTCTATGGCTGGTTCGCCTTCTGCCTACAATGAGTCTGTGACAGCCCGAGGACAGCCAGCGGTCTCTGGCGGTGCGCGGTCCTCACCTGGGCGGCGGTCCGGTCCGGCGCGGTCCGGGCGGTCTCTGCGGTCTCTGCTGGTCTCTGTCGGTCAGCTCGGGTCGTGTGGCCGCTGTCGGAGCCGCCCCGGTCAGCCGTCGGACCACCTGCAGACACTGGGAGCCAGCCCGCTCAGCTGGAGTCCCGCGCCGCGCCGCGCCGAGCCGAGCCGACCGATCGATGGGCCGCACGCGCCGCCGCCGACGGCGCGCCGCTCGTCGGTGGAGCACCGCGTCGCTGCCGACGACGCGTCGAAGGTCGGCGGCGCGGCCTGCGTGTCGGGTCAGTGGGGCAGCCGGCTGACAAGGACGGACGCGGCATCAGGACGGTACAGGGGGACAACTACACCCACCGGGAGCTGGATAAGGTGCCCCATGGTCTGGTGACTATCGGCAGGTGGATTAGAAGGTGGTGATGGTGTTAGAGGGTTGAGGACGAACAGGACAAGTTGAGGCATTGGTGTTTTATCATGGTGGTAATCATGTTGTTCATGTGGTGGATACGGTATGGTAGGCCTATGCATTCATTTTTGACTTATCTACATAGTTGGTAGTAATCGGTCGCTAGCAAGCGAAGACCAAACAAGGTAAAAAAGGTTTATCTTTACATGTATAGGCGCGACAAATGAGCTTAAAGTATAATTAAAAAAAATTAATATCAAGAGGCCTCGACTTACCAGGGTTAATGCAACTGTGCAGCCCCCCCCCCCTCCCAATCAGTTTTGTTTTTGCGGACGGAAAACAGCAGAGAACAAACGACGGCTTATTTGATACGTCAGCTCTCTATCAGCTGTATGCAGTGAAGGAATCTCCATCCCTCCCTCCCTTCATCTCTCTCTCTCTCTCTCTCTCTCTCTCTCTCTCTCTCTCTCTCTCTCTCTCTCTCTCTCTCTCTCTCTCTCTCTCTCTCTCTCTCTCTCTCTCTCTCTCTCTCTCTCTCTCTCTCTCTCCCTCTAAAATCCACGATGCTCCTCATCTTCCGAGGTGTCGCGTCCATCGGATACCGGTGCAGTGGGTGTCGCTATAGTAGGTGTCTGGCCGATGCAATATGCTGCCGTGCAGTGTGCACCGTGGAGCTTGCAATATGCTCTGTGCACGACTATACCCTACGAGAGCACGGTTAAATCGAACACTTAACCCTCGCCGGACCTATTGGTTTTCTACATACGCGCCGGCCGAGGGGGGGGGGGGCGGGTACGACCCCCCCCCTCGCCGTTTCGCCCCTGGTGTAGCTAGCGCGTCGCGGAAAAAAACGAGCGTGTGCGCCGTTACGAGACGCAGAGATTGGTACCCGATTTTAAGGTCCTAGGTCAACCGGTGACCTCTGAGGTCAGGTCAAGTGCCCCAAGGTACGGTTCAGTTTTTGGTGAATAACTTCGCAAAAAACGGCCGCAGAGCGCCGATTTTGGTAGCATCGTGTTCGTCTCGCTCAGGCGCGTCGAATGATATACTTTTTGTCCGGGTCAGGTCAACTTGGGGTGTTGACCTCAGGTCAAGGTCAGGTCAGCACCCCCAGGTCACGAAGTTGGTCGAAAGAGGTCATGTTGCATATCATTCGATTCGGCAGGTCTTCCTGAGTCCATTGGTGGCTTTCCCGACTCGCTAGCTCAATTTGATCAAGAGTTATTGACGAAAAACTAATATGACCTTGATGACGTCATAAATGACGTCACGCAAGGTCAACATTGCAAAAGTGACGCATCTTACCTTGCAAGGAGTGCATCAAATCACGATTCTGTGTGCTTGAGATAGTTGGAGATCGTTCCCGGCGCCAGAATAGCAGTTTGAATTTTTCCCCATTGACTTATAATGGTGAGGTCACGAAAATGACCTGACCTCATATGACCTTTAGGAAAAATCCGAGATATACAAATTGTGGGACTCATAATGGATACTAGATCCTGCAAGTTTCATTTCCCTGTGACATCTCCTCTGGCAGTGAGGGCGTTGCGAAGTTGCGACATCTGAAGACCGTGCAGAGGTTCACTTATGACGTCATAGGTCAGTGACCTGACCTGACTTAAAAATGCGGTTGGTGTCAAAAGATCCGGCTTGGATCAAAGGTCAGGTATGCCAAGTTTCAGCTCTCTATCGCCAGCGTGTTCGGAGCTATCGCGAAAAAACCCTATGGGGGGGGGGCGGCACCCGCCCCCCCCCCCTCGGCAGGCGAGGGTTAACTGAGAAGCTGAGAAGGTAACTGAGAAGCTGCAGGTGTGACCGTATACCTATAAGAAGAGACTATCCAAATTCGTTTTGAAGGACATTGAATAAATAAAAAAATAGCAATGTGAAGTGTGACCTTAATCTAGTAACTTATTCCAGAACTTAAGCTAATAACTAAGTCTAAGTATCCAAGTAACTACAGCTTTGAGAATTGACCCTAGGCCAAAGGTCCCGCCTCACGCTGAAATCGAAATGCCTAATTGTTTTGACGAAGATAATAAAATTAGCGTGCGTCTTTAGTTCGTCGATTTAGGTGATGTATTGTATTTTGTTTTGAATTTCGCGTGTTCACCTTCCAGGCGTCCTAACTGTTCCAATTTCAGCTGCTTTAGCTGCCGCCTCACGCGGAAATCGAAATGCCTAATTGTTTTGACGAAGATAATAAAATTAGCGTGCGTCATTAGTTCGTCGATTTAGGTGATGTATTGTATTTTGTTTTGAATTTCGCGTGTTCAGTGTTCACCTTCCAGGCGTCCTAACTGTTCCAATTTCAGCTGCCTAGCTGTGCGGTTATTCGACGAGCGGTCATTCTGAATTCAAAACTACATAGAGCACGAAGAAAGCTGAAAAGGAAAGAGTTAAGAACTGTGCTTTGTGGTTTCTGATTAAGAAATACGTCACACAGCAACATATGCCAATTGCCACATCTCTCGACTCTAATGTTATTGCTCCATGAATGTATCTCATCCTGTAATTTATGTGTTTATATCCGCAGTAAATCACCATTCGTGATGCCGTTGGACGCGTTGGTGTTGGGCCATCGTCTGGCAATTTAAACGGTGAGCTCACCGACACGACATGAAAACGTCCCGAACAAGTTTATTGACATTTGGAGGCGAGTGACTTTACCAATGGAGAGAAACGACAGAATAACAGAAACCGGACAAAACAAAAATGGAGTGTCAATGACAACCGCAAAAGTGAAGAGAGGTTCATGAAAATGGAAAGGCTCAGGGTTTCCCACGACTGTAATTGAATGGCTCAATCGTACCTATAAGTCGGCCAGGATCGATCTGTATCTGAGGGATCGGATCTGGGATTCTATTTTTTTTTTTAACCATTCCACACGAATGGTGAGGTCACATGTAGCAAAGCATTCATGAATAAGTCGGTTGTGATTAATTTTTTTTCACTATGGGGCCTTATTCTTGCCGATTATGTTGTCAGAAATCTTAATCACATAAATCTGCAATCATGATTCAAACTTATCAGCAATCTGGACATTGATGTTCATATGGTGATGCTGGAATCCCTAAGCCTGTCGGCGTCATTAGACCCTTGGATTTCTTATATAACCGTGTTACATGCTTTGTGGCTGCCCTTTCAAAGCAACTTCCTCACTGTCTCTAAGGCAATTCGGCACCTGAGAAGTGTCACTGTCCTCAGCTGAAGGACGGCGGTCAAGCCGGTAGCGGGGAGGAGCGAGGCAGTCACCTTTACGGAAACAGGTAATTTTTATACCTATCCACTGACGCCAGGAGAGCAAATGCCAACCATGTAAGCGGCCCGTGTGATTATTGTTTGTGTTCGCTACTCCTGCCTCTCAGCAGTTTGGGGTCTTAAAATGCATCTTACCTACACGCTTGATAGATACAGAACAGGACAACTTAACGAGGTTATCGTGAGTTTCACCGACTGATTTGCTTGACGTTGGTCTTCTAAAATCGCATTTGTATAGGCTCTGTCTAGAATAAACTCTGCTCTTCTCTGTGTGATGAAATACGAGTACAATATCGCTATCCGCAATGATTACTGTTTATGAAAAACGCATCTATTTTAATTTTTAAGGAACAACTGAGTGGTTTCTAGCGTTCAGACCAGCATGTTATTAGATATAAACATAACCTACAGAGCAGATACCGCAAATATGGATAGACAAGTGCCCACGGATTGTTCCTACGCCTATTCCAAACCCATGCGAAAGGTTGCATACCTACCGCAAACCCCAAAACCCGTTACTGAGCTGAATGCAGACTAATAAAACGTCCAGCGCGACATTTCCTGTTTGAGCGGGTGACGGTGTAGTCCTTGTAAGTACTGGCGAGACCCATGGGCGACGAGCCCCGAACAGCCCGCTAGACAACAAGCCCGAAACCACTGACTACTGTCTAATGTGACATGACATCAGAGAAGTCCAGACAACAGACGGTGTATGTGACCTTTCAGTTATTTGCTGGCCTGAGCAGCCTAAGAGACGCGAACAGGCAAAGAAGGAACAGAGGGGCATTTCGAGTGCTTACGAAATTCCGTGGGATAAAATTGGCTTACGAAATTCCGTGGGATATAATTGCCAAGTGTTTTGTTTTATGCGTTTACAATGCCGTACAAACCAAGGTAAGCTCGGATGCAGGCATAGGCGCGGGAGCCGGGGGGGCAGTGGGGGCAGCTTGCCCCCCCAACTCTGGGGCCGTGGGGGCGGTGCCCCCACAGCTTTGAGACGGAATACCACACTTTTTTTGCAATGTTTTCTTTTTTTGTTGAAAAAGCCGAGGGGTGAAAAATAAGTGGCATAAAACCGGTGAGAAAACTAGATTTGGGGGTACCCTAGGTTAATCTCTATTATGGTGTGCCCCCCCAGTCGGAAAGTAGTTCCCGCGCCCTTGGATGCAGGACAACTACGGTCAGAAACGTGGCGCGGCAGATGTTGATAAAGGTTAGATGATCATGGTCAGTAGCGGCGGAACACCTTCAATTAAGGGGGGGGGGGGCACTGCGACTTTTGGTCCCATTCTTTCCATGCAACACCCATAGGGCTAATGCTAAAATGCCAAAATTAAAGGAGGGCACGGTGCCTCCTTTTGTGTGTGTGTGTGCCCCGGTGCCCTCCTCGTTCCGCCGCCTATGATCACGGTAGCATGTTGTCTGTACAAAATTCACTTGTTGCGCAAACACCGAACACGTGCTTCTTGAAAAAGTGCAGAAGCGCAATAATTCTTGATTTACCCTTGAACTGAAAAGAGAATCA